AACACTGCTGAAAACAGATGAGCACGTGTCCCTGGAATCCGTATTCCTGTGAAATCATTTGCATTCTGTTAGGCAAATTTGCATAAAATTGGAGCCAAGAGAGCTTGGCTGGGTTTCCAGGCCGGCACTCTCTCTCTCTGTGCTGCTATGGCCACCACTATTTATCACCATTTACGAGGGTGGTCGAGCAAGACAGACCCACAATTAGAATCGGCACACAAATGGAATCACTTCCCTATGCTGACATGAAAATCAGTGTCCTCTCTGGTAAATGAGTGAAGGAACTCCGAGCTATAATCTGGCTGCTGCATCCTTTGTTATGACAAGAGTTTATTTTACACGACTCTGACCTATGGCTTGAAAACACAGCTTCAGTTGCAGATGTAATGATCCAGAACGCCACAGATACCTGAGTGCCAAGGAACTCGGATTCTGGCCCATGGGCCACCTGGGAAACCAAACTCACCACCCTTCATTCCAGAAAGCCAAGGGCTTCGACTCCTAAAGCAAGGTTTACCCTAAAGGGCCTCTCCTCCTTTTGGCTAGCTATGCTGAGGGCGAATTCCAGGCAAGATGCGGATAGCTGCCCCTAAATGCACACACTCATCTCTTCCTTTGGGCCAAAGGACAGGAGTCAAGTCACAGTGATGCCCAACCTACCCATGGCCAAGGGAACAAGGCAAATTACACAACGGAGGAGGACAAGGTGGAAGGAAAAACACAGAAAACAATGCAATGCTATTTCACATTTTGTTATTTTTATCTCAACTGCCTCTTTCTAGGACGATTCTCCAGAGAAATTCCATTTTCATTACAAAACTAGTTTCTTATGCCAGGGAAAAGGCTTCAGAGCTGTTATCATTGCCACTGTTATTTCTACTGAGGTCATCTCAGATGGCACGTCTACGTGAGATAAATGGTTTCCTAAACAGGCTTCTCTGCATCCTGCCACTACAGAGGTTTGCCCCGAGTCATCACTTCTGAGACCTTGAAAGAAGCAGCTTCCTGGAAGGCTCAAAAGCTGGGCGGCAGCAGAGCGTCAGACTTAAGGGCACCAAGTACTCTGAAACTGCCTGGGTTCAAATTCCAGCTCAGTCACCCAAACAGCTGAAATGAGTCCCCTCTGCAAGCTTCGGCGTTCTCATCTGCAAGACAAGGATGAAAACACCGCTGGCTCCCAGGACCGTTATAACAAAGAAATACGCGAATAGCGACAGAATGTTTAGAAAGCATTGGGCAAAGTACAGGTCATGTGAACCTCTGCCTTATCACTGTCATGAGAACAGCTGGGTGTCACTTTAACACTTGCTAGTACTGCTTGTCATGTGTGCCCAGCTGCCTGTCCATTCATTCATTTGATCAATATTATTGAGTGTCTACTATGTGCTTGCTTTGCACTGAGCACTGAGAATTCAGCGACGATCAGCTGTGCACAGCCTTGCTGATTCTTCTTTAGAACACCTTTTCAGGTAGTCACCCTGGCAGTTCCTACTCCCCATGCCTCAGGGCAGCTGCCCAGCAACTTCACCTGGGCACCTGACCCCACCTTCCCATTTGGCCCCCTTGATGCCCTCACTGCCACCAACACGCTACTGTCAGCAGTGTTTTCATCAACAAAAAAATCCGGTCGTGTCACTTACTATCCTGCTAGAAACCTTCACTGGCATTCCACTGCAGGAAAGATCCAATCGAACTCCCCAGTGGGGCACACAGAGCCTTGGAGAGTGAGCCTCCAATATCTTCCCACTTATCCCCTTTCCAATCCATCTCCAAACCCCTTTCTTCTGGTCACGCTGACCTTTTTGCCATTCCCAAACTTGGCAGGCCCTTCAATTCCTCTGCTTATTTGCATATGGTACCCTTTCACATTCTCCAGAGAGCAAGATCTCTTTCTTTTTTCTTTTCTTTTTTTTTCTCTCCCCCTCCCTCTTTCTTTTTGAAAAAACTCTTACATATCCTTCAAGCCCGGGCCAAATGGCACCTTCTCTGTGAAACCATCCTTAACTTTCCCAGGAAAAAACTCACTGGACTGTAATAGATCTGTTTATGTGTCTGTTTCCCCAGGAGACTGCCTTCCCCCCCCCCCCAGGGCCAGAGATCATGTCCAGAAACCCAGTAGGCACAAAGAATGTGGAACAAACAAATGACCACATTTTATTGTACAGTGGTTTCAAAATGAAGTCAGGAGGCAGAATTAAGGCTGCGAAGCAGCTCCTCACAAAAACCACTCTATGCTCCTGCAGCAGGGGAGGCAGCTATTCTAAATATGTGCCCAATTTAATTTATGTGCAGACAGAATAATTTAGATGCAGTAAGGCAGCAAAAGTTCCCCCAGAAATTACATCCCTATCCACTTGAGTCAAGTTCCTACTAATTCTCTACTCTAGAAAGGGAGGTCGAAGACGAAAAAGAATGAAAGAAGTCAGCGAATGCCCCCGGAGGTCTCTGCCTATTTAACATACATATTTACTTTGATATTGCTTGGCTTCCTCTCTTTCACTACAGTCTGCAATGAATCATTTCACATAAGTAAATTTTTCAGATGACTGCAGCCTAAACTTTTAAAAAATTTTAACCATTTGGAATGGAGATATTTCTGCAACTTACTACCCACTTTCCCTGAACGCTTCGGCTGTTTCTACAGAAAATAACTCTGTCTTGATGACTCAGCAGCATCATTAGGAATCACTAAGACCGTCCTGTGCTACGGATCCAGAATCTCTGTGACTGCCTGCCCCACACAGAAAAGCCTCAGAGCCTCCTGAGCTGGTTTTAAGACCATTTTTGTCTTCTTTCTTGCTGTCAAACTCTAAGATAATTCTTCAAATAATTTACAGGCCTCCATGACCTCCTCTGTCAGGTCAATTCTAATTTAATGTATTTCCTGTTTCTATTCACTTGGGGGGAAAATGATAACCAACTTTGTGAGGAAACGGGCTTTTAAAAAAGCAAATGGTATGGAATATTATTCAGCCTTAAAAAGGAATGAAATTCTGATGCATGCCACGACGTGGATGAACTCTGAAAATACGTTAGGTAAAACAAACTAGATACAAAAGGACAAATATTGCCTGATTCCCCTGATGGCAGGAATCAAAGTCTTCCTTGAAGAGTCAAATTCATAGAGACAGAAAATAGAATAGTGGCTACCCAGGACTGGGGAGAAAAAGAAACAGGGAGTTATTGTTTAACGGATAGAGTTCCCATTTGGAATCAGATGGTAGTAATGGTTTACACAACAACGGTTTATGTAACAATGTAAGTGTGCTTAATGCCACTGAACTATACATTTAAAATTGGTTAAAATGGTAAATGTTATGTATATGTTAACTCACACACCATATACATATATACCTATGTATATATCTGCATATTTATACAGATAGATGTTTACATGAACTGGTTGAGAAGGGTGGCTGAGCTCTCATGGGTAACAGGTATGACTTTAGCATATGAACTTCGTGGCATCCCTCTGCACACAAGTGGCTGAAATTATGTCCTAGTTCTCAGTTGTGATTCAGACCGTCATCAAGAAACTAAGATCTCTGAAGGTGTTAATGTCTTTTGCAGTCATAAAGATCTTTTACTCACAAATTACAGTACTGGTGACAAGCAGGCACTCCTAGCTTCTTGGAGGACATTATGAATAATTCCCAAGAGAACTGAGCTCCAGAAGGGGCGGGGCTTTGTCCTTTTCACACAGGAAACCAGTGCGCCTGTCCACCACACAGAATCCAAAGTTACTCTTCCTTTGTCCTGAGATCAACATCTAGAACTAAGAGGTCACATGTAAAGCTGTTAAAAGAGCAAAAATACTGATTATCTGAATTCACTAGGATCTTAAGGATATGTAAAAACTATATAAAGCGGTCTTTTAAATATTACAATGTCGGATTATAGCTTATAAATGAAACATTTTAGGTGATATTGGACCAGTATTTTTAAAGCAGTCTGGCCTATAAAAGAGAGAGGAGGCTGGGCACAGTGGCTCACGGCTGTAATCCCAGGACTTTGAGAAGCCAACGCGGGTGGAGCACGAGGTCAGGAGATCGAGACCATCCTGGCCAGCATGGTGAAACCCTGTCTCCACTCAAATACAAAACATTAGCCAGCATGGTGGCGGACACCTGTAATCCCAGCTACTCCAGAGGCTGAGGCAGGAGAATCACTTGAACCCGAGAGGTGGAGGTTGCAGTGAGCTGAGATCACACCACTGCACTCCAGCCTGGCAACAGACTAAGACTCCATTTCCAAAAAAAAAAAAAAAAAAAAAAAAAAGAGAGACAGAGAGAGAGAAAAGAAAAAGAAAAAAAAGACAGAGAGAGAGGAAATAGCTGGTGGCTTGTTCAGTTCAACTAACACAGAGCCTGGGGTTTGGGGAGCATGGTGGTGAACTCTGTCTTGCTTAATGAAAGGTCACTATTGTCCCTCTGCCTGAATAATAATTTCCCTTCCTTTTTTGCTTCCTTATGAAGTACCATGAAGTTCACTCTAAAAAGTCATAACATGTTATGCCCAGGGAAGATGTTGAATTGAAATTTTTAAATATGTGCTTTATTAAACAAACCACTCAAAACATTATTTTTGTCCTTCTGAAGAGTGACTTATTCTGCACATGAACTTAGATTGAGTTAAATATTCAACCTATATGTTTCATAACACAACAGATATGTAAATAAATGAGAAAGCAGGAAAAAAAAAAGAGGTTTAGTAAGGATGCAGTAAGAGTTTCCTATCTTGTCAGAATTTCGTGTTTCTTTTAAGAAAGTAGTTTCCTGGCCCATGCTGAAACTCCCTTAGCCCTGCAAATAACACAAGAGCATCCTGTTCAAATGTTATTATGGAAACACTGTGCTGTTCTGGGCCAAATGTATCCAAATTAAACTGAGGGGGATGGAAAGAACTCTCCCTTGACACCCCTGGTTGCTGAAGGTGAGTTTGTTTTTAAGTAGAATAAAATTTACAGCTGAATATGAAAACAGATACAGCTTCATCTTGTAAACTTGAGTAACATGCCATTCCACCTCTGGACTCTAGAAGAAAAAAACACTAAGGTCATGCTTAAAATAAAAAAGAGTGAAGGGATAAGGATCATACCAGAGGTAAAACCGCAGACTTTCCCCACCTTTTTATTAAGGTATTAGGCAGGTTACAATTTGACAGTGAGATCATTTCTCTGGAACCAGGAAGGCACTGTGGGTTTGTTTTGCCAACACACACTCTGACCCCTGTGAGAGCTTCTGAATCAGGTGCCCGGTCTTGGTAGGAAGCAGTGATTACTACTTATTTTTCAAAGGCTATTTAAACAGACTCTAGGAGTCAAAAGGGAGACAGAAAAAAAGTTTCATTTATTTTCTAACTACAAAAGAACTTGAAATTCCATGTTGTAAGAAAGACTTCACCTTCTGCTTACTAACTGGCTTCCTAAAGAACCCAAAAAGTCACGTGCATAAAGTTGTGCTTTTGTAATATGTTTATGTTTAATTTTTTTTTTAATTTAAGTTCCAGAGGACATAAACATCACTTGGATTGCCTAAATAACGAATGCTGGTTTAGCCTCTTACCAGGAAAAGTCTTTGCAGAACCTCTGCTTCCACATCTATAAATCCACTTCTTGCCCTCTGGGAGACCTTATTGAGGTTAAATAATCTCCTCTCCCTAAAAGTGTTAAATCTAGGGTCTGGCACATATTGGGATTCACTAAATATTCATTTCCTTCCTTCCTCCCGACATTTGGTGATTGAGGCCAATGACCAACGCTGTGATAAATGGAAATGGGGAAGATGAGGAGGATGAGTAAGTAAGGAAAAGAATGCTCTAAACATTTTAGCCAAAAATAGAAAAAGTCTCTTTCAAGTCTACATTGTTCGCGGTAGCTTATTTACTATTTTTAAGGTACAACACTGTTCTCAACTATTAATGAAGAAAAATCCATTACATCTCCTCTGTATAGCCTGCAATACTGCTAGAAAAATATTGTCCCCTCAGCACCCTTCTATTGCACTGCCCTGTTTTCTTTACTTCGTAGCCCTTATGTTATATTGTTAATTATTAAGTTGTTTACTATTCTGACTTCCTCACAATGTGGGATTCACAAGAGACAGAAGAGTTCTTACCTGTCATGTGTATAGCTCCAACCCCTGGAACAATGATTGGCACAGGATAGGCTCTTTATAAATATTTGTTGATTTAATGAACTCGCAGTAACATGCCCTTTAACATGGTGGAAACCCTACTGATGAAGACTCCACCATTCTTAAAATTCAAAAAAATGCATGCCAAATATTTTTTGGTCACCTAAAAGGAGAAGCCTAATTTTATTTTTTAAATTGTATTTCATTACTAAAGGAGATGGTGTCTCAGTTAGAGCCCTATGAGCAAATTTAAAGACTCTGAAGGACTTTTTCATATTTATTAGTGTTTGTTCTTTTTATTTTTTTGTTTTAAAATTTTTCAACTTATTTTAAGTTCAAGGGTACATGTACAGGTTTGTTACAGAGGTAAACTTGTCTGGGTTTATTGTACAGATGATTTCATCCACTCAGGTATCAAGCCTGGTACCCATTAGTTATTTTTCCTGATGGTCCAATGTGGCATTTTCTTGGGAAAAAAGATGGAAGATGGAAGAGCAACATTCATAGGCCTACACACCTATGGACACGTCTGATTAAAGCTAATCGCAACCTTCAAAAATAATAAACAAGGACTGAGGGATTCAAAGAAATAAAGGCAGCAAACAGCATGTTAATATAACACCATTACTCGTCAGGTGTCAGCAAGCGAAAACAGTCACACGTGTTCATCTAATTCTAGTTTGCCCCTGTTGAAAGGAGCTGTTTTACAGGGCTGTCTCTTCACGTGTTAGAGACCTCGCACAGCAATCCTACTACTGTCCTTCACTAGCATCCAAGCCCACCTGGCTCACAAGCACATCCTCACAGGGTCTTCAGCTGATGTGTATGCACCAAATGGAAGCAACAAGATGCCCCTCCGCAGCAAGCATGAGCAACACTGCAAAGGCTGAATCAAAGGAAAAGTAACCAGAAAGAAAAGACTGCATTCCAATTTCCCTGAAAATGTTTGAAACAGAAAGAAGTAGAGTATACTAGTTTTCAAAATGCAATATATTTAAGTCTCTACCTTGCAATCTTGTGTCCTTATGAACACATATCCAGAGAAGCAGCACAGGATAAAGAAATATCTACCGGACTCCCAAGCCAGGGAATGAATAGCAGCTCCTCCTTTGCTTATTGGCTCTTACACACCTTTGTTGGCCAAACTTTCTTCTTTATGTGGGAATAAACAAATAACAGTGTGTGGGGGGAGGAAAGTAGGGAGAAGTTGAACTACAATACTTGCCTTGCTTGGGGTTGTTGTGAAGATCAAATGGGCCAACAGATACGGAAGTTTTTTTTTTTTGGAAATTTTAAAATCCTACATAAAGGCAAGATACCACTGTATTTTTTCACCTGAAAAAAAATTCCTTGAAAACTGCCTTTCATAATTGAATTCTTTCCTCAAACATACTTTTATTAACTGATGGTTAATAAAGCAGTGAACTCTAACAAAATAGAGTTTTTAACCAGACTATATTTTTATAAGTGAAACAAGAAAAAATATATATTTGTATAAGGTCAGGTGAGGTGACCCATGCCTAAAATCCCAGTACGTTGGGAGGCTGAGGCAGGAGGATTGCTTGAAGCCAGGAGTTTGTGACTAGCCTGGGCAACAAAGTGAGATCCAGTCTCTACAAAAGACAAGACAAAAATTATCTAGGTGTGGTGGCAAGCACCTGTGGTCCCAGCTACTCAGGAGGCTGAGGTGGGAGGATCGCTTGAGCCTGGGAGTTGGAGGCTGCAGTGAGCTGCCTCGAACAGCACTGGCGTCACTGCATTCTAGCCTGGGCAACAGAGCAAGACCTCATCTCCAAAAACAACAACAGCAACAAAACAAACAAAACAACAACAACAAAAACCACAGAAAACAGCATTTGTATATAACCAGAACAATGACCACATTCTTTCCAAATTATACAGAAAGACCAGCAAATCTCAAGACGAAATGAGCCATGTTCTGAAGCATTCAGTCAATCATTACCTCCTCCAAAAAAATCTCTCCGCTCTAGTCCTAATCATTGTGCAAAGCTAGCAATTCTTTCTGTTCCCACTACCATTCCTCTAGGTCAGGCCCTTGGTCTCTTGCCCATTTGCTGAAAGAGGCTCCTATCTGGTCACTGTTTGCTCCCCCGTCTCATTAACGGTCTGGAGTGGAGTCAGAGTGATGTATCCAAAACAAACCCTTCCAGGGTGGGCCACCTCTAGCATCATCTTTCTGACCCACCCACTTGCACGCTCCACTCCAGCCAGCCTGAACTCTTCAGTTCCTGCAGTCCACCATGTGGCCTCTTGCCTCTGGCCTTTGTTCCCGAAGTTCTGCCTAGGGCCACAATTGCTTCCTCCCACCCACTTCACTAGATTGATTCCTGCTCATCCTCAGGCTTCAGTCCCCTTCCTGGGAAGACTTCCCTGACTCTAATAAATGCCCCCACTATTGCTGCATCTGTTCTCATAGCTTTAAGCACGCTCTCCTGCAGTTGCTGTTGAATGGTCTTCACTCCCCCAGACCAAGCTTGTCCAACCCATGGTGGGTGGACGGCTCTGAATACGGCCCAACACAAATTTGTATACATACTTTCTTAAAATATTATGAGATTTATTTTTTGCTTTTTTTTTTAACTCATCAACTATCATTCATGTTAGTCTATTTCATGTTAGTGCATACATGTTAGTGTATTTCATGTGTGGTCCAAGACAATTCTTCTTCTTCCAATGTGGCCCTCGGAAGCCAAAACACTGGACACCCCTGCCCTAGACTAGCAGCCATGCCTCTCTTGCTCTTGCTTCCCACTTCTCCAGGACCTAGCTAATTTTTTTTAAAAAGTATGGTATAAATGAATAACTGATCTCTTGTTCTGTCCGCTTTAATCACGTAACTGAGTGCAAAGAAACAATTATTCACTTAAAAACACAGAGATGCAAGTGGGTCCTTTGCCATAACAATGAGGCAACTCTTTGTCAATATCCTGCCATGTCAAATAGGTAGAGAAGTTTTAAAGAAAAGCCGAGTATCCCAACTGACATGAAATTTCCCTATATTCTCCATATTTTAAAAGCACTGGTTTACTCATCGGTCGTGCCCTTTAAGTATTCCTTACAAAAGGTATTTTCAAATTCCAATGACATGTACTTTCATCGGTTAATTTTTAATTGAGCCAAATATTAAATGCTCACATTAACCAGACAAAGCATTTTTAGCTACTGATTTGCAGTGACAGCTTGTGTTATTCTCACACACAGGCCAAGCATGAAATAGAAAACTAATAACCCCTTAACTGTATTCTCAAAGTATCATTTATGGGAAAGAAAACTACATTCAAAGGAAACTTGCAGAATGGCTGTCATTTTTTTTTTCTCTGAGCCACAAGCTGTTACAAAGCAGGGGAGCTCATTTTCTCACAGATACGGACAAGCTCAAGAATCCCACTGTCACTGGATGTATTCATTAAGGAGGAATCTGGCAGCAGCACAGGGGACAGATACTTTGGAGAACAGGCCAATTATCTGGGTGTCCTTTATAATTTGAAGTTTCTGAATTCACTCATAGATAAGCCGCTTGAAGAGGGCCTGGCAATGGGAACATAACGCGCAGATGGCCACTGAAGAAACGAGAGGGAGGAAGGGAGGCTGGAAGAGAGAAGAGAATTTGCTTGTGGTTTCATTCATGGGGACAAATCTACAATCTGACACATTCATCTTTTTTAAAAGCCCCTGGAGAAGTATGGTCAAGCTTCATTACAAGTAAACAAATCAAAATCTTTCCCAAACAGATGACAACTGATGCTTTGAGTTTGCTTCATGCCAAGGGATGAGGGTTCTCAAAATACAAATTCCATCAGTTGTTAAAACCACAGATAGGCTGTGATGCTGCCTTCAACCAGAATAGAGAACTTAGCCAAAAGCTGCCAGGCAGTTGTTTTATCTGAGACATCCCGGGTGGTCTTCTTGGTGAGCAGTGTCTTCAGAAATGAAATCGTAGGGTCTCCCACCTCTGGGAATGCTGAAGTGCACTGACTTCCACCTTCAACTGGCTGCTTGTTTTTATGGGAGAAGAACGCGGGGATCATTCATCCTTGTGACTTTTATGCTGCAGTTCTTTTCATATTTGAGCTACAGCACTGATCAGAGTTAAAATCCACCTTGCTCCCGAACCTGGGGCTGGCCCTGCTTTCTGTAATGATAGGGTGATGGATAATCTCAGCCTTCAAAACCCTTTCAGTCTGGGTTAGGCTTGAGATGTGAAACAGAAAGAATGAGACAAATAGGCACGTGTATGTAGACTGTGTGTCTACAACCTTTGTATAAACAGATAGAATGTGACAACCAGCAGGCTGGTATCTATATAAGCATTAAGGACCAATAAATGTCAAATGTTTAATATAAAGCAAAATCTAGATTTCTCTTTAGGAATAAATGATATAGGTTTTCAATTCAGTGAAGAGGATGAAATCAAAACACTTAATAGGTATTTTTCTTCTTTCATTTCTATTGAATATTAATGAATCTGTAGGATGGGACATTTCAGACAACACATACTCACGTACACACACACACACACACATTATAATAAAAGAAGTAGAAGAAAATTAATCCTGCTTAGGATGAATTGCTCAAAATGCTTCTAACATAATCATTTTATTCATTCATTCAACAAATAAAATCGTTGTGTGTGCCTACTATACCAGGTGCCAGGTTGAATTTAATAGAAGAAATATTTTATTAATAAGGAAGTCCCAGTGAGAAAGGACACCTTGATTTTGTAAGACCTAGAGTCACACGTAGAGAATACTATTAGGATATTTCGAACAATACTAATTTGACTCAAGTTGAAGTATTGGTTAAGTTGGCAACTGGTAGTGGGGAAGCCAAGCTTTCAACAGTAAAGCTTCAAGTTACCCGCCTTAACCCAATCCATGCAATCTACAGATCGCTCTTGGGAAAAGTGGGTGCAAACAGCAGTAGTAAAAGAAGATAGCATAAGCAGTAGCAGTTAGGACCACTTTGGGCACGAAAGAAGGCAAAAGGGAAACCTACATGATTTGTGGGGAAAGGCTTATTACGGTTCCGCCTCAGTTTCTCTCTTGAGCTCCAGGTCCTCATGTCTAAGGCTTACTGAGCATTTCCACTTGGATATCCTATTGGAACGTCCAAAATTAAATCCATCACATGTACCCCACAAAGCAGTAACTGTTCTTATCTTTCCTTTCTCTCTGAAAGACAGTATCATTTTTTGAGCCAGCTAGGATGGCACTTGAGTCCTGATCCTTTCCCTCCCTCATTCCTCACATTCGACCTGCTGTCGGTCCTTTGATTCTATACTTGCATCAGTCCTGCCCCTTCCGTTCCACCACTGTGCTTCAGACCTCACACCTGGTCTCCCCGTCCAGGCTCAGTCACTGTCAATCTTCCTCAAGCCCATGCATCCCGCCTTGTCTCAGAACCTTTGCAACATCCTTTCACATCCCTGGTACAGCTAAACATAGCTGTCCCTCCGTACCCTCAGGGGATTAGCTCTGGGAACCCTGATGGAGATCAAAATCTGAAGATGCTCAAGTCCCTGATATTAAATGGTAGTACTTGCATATAGCCTGCAGATCCTCCTATATACTTTATTTTTTTGTCTCTTATTTTTTTTAGACAGAATCTCGCTCTGTCGCCCAGGCTGGAGTGCATGGCACCATCTCAGCTCACTGCAACCTCTGCCTCCTGGGTTCAAGCAAACTGAGTAGCTGGGACTACAGGCGCAAGCCACCAAGCTCAGCTAATATTTGTATTTTTGGTAGAGACAGGGTTCCATCGTGTTGGCCAGGCTGCACTTGAACTCCTGACCTCAAGTGACCTGCCCACCTCAGCCTCCCAAAGTGCTGGGATTACAGGCCTGAGCCATCATGCCTGGCCTACCCCATATATTTTTGATCCGAAGTTGATTGAATCCATGGATGTTGAACCCAAAGATAGGGAGGGCTGTTTATACAAGTTTCTAAACTTAGTATGCAGTGGTAAGTTCTCAAAACTATGGACTTATCTCAGGAGAGTTCTCCATGCCCCAGTCAAATCAGACTCTCCACAATTCCCCAAACACAGCTTACACATTCCCGCCTGCTTCGATGCCTCCGGTTCCACTACCTGAAATACCTTCTCCCCATGTCTCCTACCTCTTCTCTAAAACTTGTCTCAAAATTATCTCCTGCATGACACTCTTCAGATACCACTGTAGCTGGGTTGGGCCTCTCTGTCTACTACACATTGCCAAGGATTACAGTGATTTGCATCCTTGTCTTGGGCCCCTACTGATTGCTAAGTTCCTTGAAGGCAAAAGTGATCTTAGACATTTTTTTTTTTTTT